ACCCAGTCCCAGAACGTTATACTTACCTTCAATGGGGACTGGGTAGAACGTTATACGTGATTTAAGTAATTCAATGGGGTAATGTGAGCTACATGTTTGTTGAAGGATTTCTAACTTGTGTGGGAGGGTTATTAGTTAGACACAGTTCAAAAGTTAATAAAGTTAATTATATATATATATATATATATATACTGTTACAAGCTTTAAGATATGTAGGATAAATAATTGTGGTTTCCTGTTATAATTTGCTGTCATTCCAGAAAGAAAAAGAGCTGATTTTGAATTATTTCCTATTATTATTTATAGTGGTTATGAAGTTAACCAACATAAAATATTATGTTTTTCCGAGAAAAAAACTTTGCTATTTATTTAGATGGCTTTATGGATTATGAAAATGAAATTTGAAACTTTTCAGATGAAGAAAAGTATTATTAATCTTAACATGAAAATCACTTTGCACTTAAGCAGTCAAACCTCTGACACAACAAAATTACAGATAAAATTTTAGTAAAAATATTAAATCGAAATGTCATATTTTTTTGTCGGTAAAAGACTAAAGTTTACTGAAATTTTGTCAAATTTTGTGAAGATACATTAAGTACTTTAAGAGTTGTCATATGTATACCACCATGGTTACATGGTGGTTACAAGGTCATGAAAATACAAAAGTCTGTTGCAATAGGATTAAAGAATGTAGTGCTAAAAATATTATGGGCTTAATAATAATGTCTTGTGACACATAAAGATATATATTGTCAAAAGAACATTATAAATATGTTTACATATGCAATTATTAAAAAAGTGCACTTGTCAACCAAAATTTTTATCCATGTATTTGATTTAGTTTACCTTAAACAACTAGATATAACAACAGTTACAAAACAAAAAAAGTGTCCCCACAAAATATTTTCATTAACTAATATGTTTTTAAATTCTCACCATAGAAATTTAGTAGTTTTTAATCACATGCAGTTTGTGACTGGCTACTCCTTGTTTTTCTTTTAACTAGAACATATTATGAAAGTAGTTTTCTTCAATTCATACTTCCAATACCTGAACATTGTTTTGAATAATCAACTGATTTAAGTGTTCATGTTTTAATGAGTAACCCATTTCATAATCAGGGTTTTCAGTAAAGAATATATTAATAACCTTTTAATGAGGAATAATGGAACCATTTTTTTTCAGGATTTTTTATGGCATCCTATGGTGAACAGTTCTATGTATGAAGTCTTTGAAAAATGGTTACATGAAGAACCAAAGAAACGACCTAAAGTAATAATAGTGGGTAGTGGTACATGGAGCATCAAAGTTTTTAATGGAAGTATGGAAGCTGTAGAGAACTACCGTACAAACATGACAAGATTAATGCCTTATCTTGACCAGATTGGAAAGAGGAGCAAGGTACTGTGGATGTTGCAAGAACCTGTCAATGAAGATAAGCTGAGTCCGAACCGTAAGATGATCACTAATGACCAGATTGAGTTGTATAACAGTATTGCCACTGAAGTCTTGTAAGTAATAGTTTAATAATAATTACCACAGTATCTTATGGCATTCTTCTAAAATCAAAATGAACAGTTTCTTTACAGTTGTGTTCTATTTCACAAGAAAATTTTTCACTATATTTAATTATGTTTTATTCCCTCATAATTTTTGGTGTGTGTGTGTGTTTATTGATCTTGTATTAAAACATAAAACTAATTAAAATGGCTTCTATGTTACCATGAATATTCATACTAATTTCTTTAAATACTTTTTTGTAAAGTATTTATAGAAGTTTTGTAAAAATCTGTATATCAACATCAAGATAACCATAGAAATGTTTTTAATTCTTTATTATATTTTCAGACAATACAGTAATGTTCAAATGTGGAGTTCTGCAAGAATGATATCTCTTGGAGTAATTAATGAAATGGAAGATGGTCTACATGCTGGAAATGTTGCTCTTAATTATGTGAGCAGTCTTCTATTAATTAGAATATAATTCTATTAATATAATACTATGTACAAAAGTTTGTTCATAAAAGATAGTATAAGTATGTGCTTGAAAAGTTGGGTAATTTGAAGAAATCACATTTTTTAATGGGGAAATTATGAGAACTTTTAGAATTAGTTAAAATTGCTACTCTGATCTTTTTTAATATATATACATATCCACATATATATATATATATATTATAATTATTTATTTGATGTTTTCTTTACTTAGTTTGATTTTGAAGCGACTAGTAAATTTATTGACAAATGTTACTTTGTTCCAGGATGTTCAAATTTTATTAAACATGTACTGTAATGATCATATGAACTACAATGATGGGACCTGTTGCAGTAGTCCTGAGTCAGTGACCACACTTCAGATCATCACCTTTTCAGCATTTGGTGTCTGGTAAGATTTTTAATTTAAAAAATGCAAAAATCTGTTTTTATATATTTTTGGTACAAAAACCTTTTAGGAGGGGGAAAAAAGTAACTGAAGCTCATTAGTAGATACAATTAATTTTAGTAAAATACATCTATATAACATCTTTTAATCTTGTAGGGTTGTTCCAACATTTATTTCTTCCATTTCCTAATACTTTAATGTATGTAGTGTCCTCTTATGCTTATTAAGAAGGAAAACATAAAGTTTCACAAAAATGTTTATGCACGCCTTGTTTATAGTTGGGTGATTAGTGGAATTTACTAATTAGTTAATCTCACACGAGACTAATCTTTCTTTCCGATACAATTACTAAATTCCATACACAGGTAGCTATTTTCCTCTTGAAGTTGCATTTTCTGCCTGACAGAATTGCATGCCACTAGTCTTTGAAAACTACAACCTAAAATTCATGTGAAAAAAGTGAACTTGTGCTATTGCATGATGACACTTCTTTGCACAAATGCTCCCTCTACATACACATGCAAAAATCTGTTCTTTTTTCTCGGCACAGTCATGTAAAGGTGTCTTAGTTTTTGCTGAAACTTGTCTAAGTTTTCCTTTTCAACATATCAGTATGAATTCACAATTTAACATGAATTCTTCCTCAACAAAAATGAGTGAAAATAATACTCATTATGACCAATTTTCTAACAATTCTGGAAGTTATTTGTCTGTGGAAGAAATGATAGCCTTTGTCCATCATGTGATGGGATTCATGCTGCCACCAGGCTCTGTTCTTTCATCCCTGCTACACAGTTCCCTTCACCTGATCTTGAAAATGAGGTTAAGGAGGACAAAATAGAGTGTCTTTTTCCACCTCCTGACTTTGATTTGGGTACTTCCATACCATCTGAAGAACATGTTCAGTCCTAGTCCTCCTCAGGTTTCCAAAATCTCATTATCCAGGTTTGTATCATTCTTTCTCTATCCCCCATAATTTATGATGCTTCAGAGGGTCTTTAGCAGTGTCTCTGATTCCCTCAAATCATGGGCTGAAGCTGCCCACCATCAGTTTTCTTTTCCTTATTTGTCTTGTATTTGTCACAATTTCACTTCACCTCATCTGTCCCTCAACCTCATTCACACTCTTCTCCCAATCCTGTTCCAGTATCCTGGCCTCCCACCTCCTTCTGCTCAATTTCCTTTCTTTCACTCTAACCATTGGTGACCATCAGATTGGTTCAGGTCCTGTGGTAGCCTGTATGTACTAGTTTGTTCATTTATGGGCTAATTTCCCTGTAGACAGATGAGTCATTCAAGCCCTGACTCAGAGTCTTGCCCTCCACATTTCTTCCCCTTGTCTTCTCACCCACTCAACAGTCTTTCATCCCTCCTCTGATCCAGCCTACTTTTCTTCTCCAGACAATAACGCTATCTTAATTTTACCCTAAAAGATTAGGGACTGGTGCTTCATCATTGGCGTATCTGCCATCACTCATTTTTGGTCGTCCCTCACTCTCAGATGAAGAATTTCATCTCTTTCTCTCTCTGATGGCCTTTCCAAGTAACTCTATGGATGACTAATGTAGATGTGTTGGATGCCTTTCACCATGTTTCAATAGCTCCTGCCTTATAATGTTACCTAAGACTTGTACACAGTGACCGTATCTTTCAGTTCCATACCTTTCCATTTGGAATAGCATTAGCCTCGTATGTTTTCAATCATATTAGGTGGGCTTTTGCTCGTCATCTACTTGATCTTTGACTTTGGTTTCACTTCTGCATGGATAATTGGTTCTTCCTCTCCTGTCCCTGGGAGGAATTCTTTAGTCAAATTAGCCTTCTTCATCTTCAGGATGATGCTTGGGATGGTTTATCAGTATTTCCAAATCCTTTCTAACCTCAACCCAATATTTTATTCACCTCAGGATAGTTTTCAACTCTCATGTCAATGAGGCCCAACCTTCTTGTCTCCATTTACAAAACCTCAGGAGTTTAGTCACCAAAGTATTTGCTTGTCCTGTGTGGGAGGTTCTATCTCCCTTTGGGACTATGGCTTCTCAGGAACCTCCCATTCCACTCCAATGCAATCTTATCATGGATCCACTGTCCTTATGGATCTTCCTTCCTTTCCATCTCCTGGAGGATTTTGCCTGCTGGCTTAAATGCTCAAACACCACCTTTACCATTTACATCCTTCTAAGCCTGAACTACACCTATTCACTGATGCATCCCTCACCAGGTGAAAGGCATCCCAGAATGACTCTCAATCTTCAGGTATCCAAACCTCAAAAAGTGCATTCACTCCACATCAAAAATTTTGAAACTGCTTACAGTCCAATGGGTATGCTCCCAATATCACCCTCTCCTGATGGATCATTTAGTCATTGTCCACTTGGGTAATTCCATGGTGTTGTCTCATATCAACTATCAAAGGGGCAACCCTTTCAGAATCCTCTGATTCCAGACTTTGGATCTCTTCGTTGAGCCCATTCCAGTCAGGTGAACTTAACTGCCTGTCATGTCCTGGGCACTCTGGTCATTGTTGTAGACTATCTTTCACAACAGGACCACATCAAACCCACAGTATGTTCCCTTCACCCTCAAATATCCATTGGGTTTGTTCCAAACTTGGGACCTCCCAGGGAAGGTTCTATATCTTCAGTTTACCTCCTCAGGGATCCAAACATCCACCCACGTGTTTGCCGTGCATGGCATCCTGTGAAAGGAAGGAGAGGATCCTTGTGATTGAGGGATGTCATTGGTGGGTCAGTTTATATCAGTGGCATTTTAACACATCACTTTGGCCTTGAATTCATGTAGACAGATGGCCTTGGGGTGGCTCCCTCTGGGTGAATCAGCTGGTCCTGTTGAACTAGGGTCAACTAAGTACCAGTGTTGGATGTTCTCAATGGGTGTTGGAGATATTGTGTCTGATGCTGGTGTTTGGGTATAGTGCCAACGAAACCCTGGCATCTTTACATTGCTCTACTTTAGTATTGTAGGGGATCCCCTTGTATGGATCTTGCATCTAGTGACCCCCCCAAAAAAAACAATGAAAAACTCTATGGTATGTACCTGTACTTCATTTTTTCATCCTTCATTCTTTATCTGACAAAGCTTAAGGCAAATATCTCCCTTTTTCATTCAGAACAGATTAGAGGAGATTGCTGGCTCTCCAAAGTGAGTTAAGAAACTACGTTTGGAGACATCTAGATGGAAACATCTACTTCAAAACAGAGCAAACTCCTCCTGAAATCAAAGGACACTGAGGATATACCTATTGAGTTGGACTTATTGTCATTGGTTTCTCCTTTGTCATTTTGCCCCTGGCTGACCTATCTCACTTCACCATACTTCTTTCTTTACTTGGTTAATTGAATGTAACTTGTCTTTTTTCTACAATTGCAGGGCATCAAGCTGCTCTGTCAAGTACATTCCACCTTTCCTAATTTTACAACATTTTATTCTCCTCTGTTCTTACTACTCTCTTATGTTTGCTCAGGCCCTGTTTTCTCACTCTTTTGCCTAACTGTGACTTGGGTGTCACTCTTCATGTCCTCATTCTCAACCATTCTGAACCCCTTGCTGCTTGCTTATTTTCTTCTCCTTGCATGTAGTTGTCATTATTCTGACATCTGTGCCCATTGATTCTAACCAGATTTCTTTCCACTGCTTGTACATTTTTCTCTACCATGACCATTCCCTCTCTCCTTAAACATTAGATATTATGGAAAGTGGTCCCCAATTTTCACCCACCTTTTTTCCCTATATCTCCCATCTTTATAGATATTCTGCTCTGGACAGACTTCTGTGTCTGGTCCTAGCCATTCGTTATCTTTCCTGTACTTCCTCATTTTGAGGTTCCCAACACAGTCTTTTCATTACTTGAGACACCTTCTTCTATAGAGACCTTTCTCCCTCCACTCTTACCAAATGGATCTGTCCACTCATCTGGATTGTTTACTCTTTCTGGGGGATGGATAATCAATTACTATTTCAAGTTTCCTCACACCAGATTTGTCTACTTACACAGTCTTTGGCAACTCACCATCATCAAGTACTTGGAAAGATTCTCTGAGCTGTCATATGAACTACTACACACACACTATCTCCACCATCTGACTGGTTCCTCTGTAGTATCAGACAGACTTCCACCAATAACCAAAATAAAGCTTAGTTACTAAGCTTGATAAATTATAGTGGAATTCTATGGTATTAATGTAGTAATTTATGATTTTTTAATTATTCAAATATATATATATAAAACCTAAAAAAAATATTTTGTTTCATATCCTCCACGTGCAAAAATTTTAAAGGCTTAGCGGCCTACATCAAGCAGCAACTGAGTCCAAAGGCTGTAACTAGAAGAGATAATTGTTTGCTTTACTTCTTTATTTACTGTTCTATGTTTTAGGAAAAATAATTTTAAGAATTTATTTCAAAATAGCAATAATCTATGTACATATATAATGTATAATAATTGAAATGTGACTATATTTTATAAAATACTACTCTACTAAAACACAGCCAAGACAAGCTACTTTGTACAGACCAAAGGTCACCTTTATGTTATTTGATATGGTAACATCAGTGCACGTGAGCCGCGTCGTTGTAACTTCTGTATAGTTAGCCAGGCATGGGTGAAAGGTCAATATAAAAAAATATATATATATATATAAATGTATAATCTTTCGAGATTTAAGCTATTTCATTTAAACATTTATGTTTTCATGTTATAATTTGTGTTCATTCTAGAATGAAAGATGCATAATTTATTTTTATTTCCTCATTTTTTATGGTCGTTGCAAGATCAGTCAAATTTACCAAACCCGTACAGGGATTAATTACTGAAAATAACAGATAAAATATAAAGTTTTTT